GATAAACCAAACATTACCGCCACATATCTGACTCAATAACCATTAAAACAACTACTAACAAGTTACATTTCCTCTCATCACGGAGCAAATCCCGATGATGAGACATTTGTTCTTTCAATCAAACCAACAACCCACCACACCCCCACCACCATCCCCCACCACCCCCCCCCGCGCCACGCCCCCCAAGGTGTACTGGTTTTCCCAAATGAAAATATGGTCACCCTAACTGAAGTAAATTTTCAAAAAGGTGCTATAGATCTACTTTCATGATACAGCAAATTAAATTCAGAGGAAGGGCCTTTTTATCCTTTTTTTTACATGATAAAGCATTGTTATCACCATCTCACTCTCAGCAAGACAACATACTGTGGAAAGCATATTTCTTAAAAGTATTCATTATTAAAAGTGAACACTCCTGTAGTTTTTCTTCAGTTTAATGGTTTGTAGCAACACATAACAAGGGCTATTGTTTCTCAAAATGCACACAAGCTGAACTGCCAGTGCCTTCACTGGAACTTCCTTTCTTGTTATAGACTTGGATTAACACTTATTTTGTTTTTGGCCATTGCCTTTTCATTTGGCCTTCTTCTTTGTTTGCTGAATAGATTTCTTCATTCATTTTATGGCACTACCAACAAAGAATGGAAATAATTTTTACAATCAAACCTGGCAAGAACGTATCACAAAGAGCAGATACAACAACAACAAAAAAATTACAGTACATTTTGCCAGCTCAAAACAAGAGTTTAAAAGAACACCCACTGTTCTTTGTTTTCAGGTCAGAGACCTGTAACAGAGGAAACAATTTCCCAAAAAATTCTCTTTGTTCAAAATAAAAAAGTGCTTTCATCAAATATTAACTTATTCATTTGGCCCCTATAAAGAAAAAACTTAAATAACTAAAACGTTGCCTTTAAAACTTTTCTAGATTAAAACAATCAAACCGATATGTGAATAATATCACATATTGGCAAAAGGTTAAAAATAAACCAGTTTTGTTTATTCCCTTATCAGAGAAATCGTTCTCTTTTTTTGTTATATTAGTTTTTAAAATAGCACGACCCCTTGGTCATGTCATATGATGTTGTCTGCTGAGATATCTTGACTGGAAGAAGTGAGCGGCTGACCAGTCATTTATAGCTTCCTGAGAAAGCTGATTCCTTCTTCATCAGTTGGGAAGTATTGTCAGCGTGTTCAGTCATTCTGGAGCTCTTGCACTCCACTGTGGCCTCATTGGTTTTCAGGGTAAGGCTATTCCTAGAGCACTACTCTTTATCCTTTATCCACTTGATAGTGGACCTCTACTCTATAGTAGGTTTCATCGTTAGATATGAGGCCCATCATAGTTAGCCTTGTGAGACCATCCTGATCTTGCGAGCTTTCCAGATTTCACTCGCTAATCACTCTGGAGACTCTCCGTTGAAGAAAATTTGGAGCTGTTCACCAAACGAATGTCCAATCAGCGTTGGCTTTGAGGCGGGTTGAGGTGTGACGCAACGAGAAGCGCGACAGTTCAGTCTAAAGAACATGGCGGCTTCAGCCGATGAAAGTAGCGTTAGCGTGGCTATCGACCAAGTTTTATCGGAATTACAGAGTATTTCTTCACTGAAAGAAGAGCAAAACGCTGCTCTGGAGGCTTTTCTCAGAGGAAAAGATGTTTTTGCTCTTCTCCCGACTGGTTTCGGCAAGAGTAGCCTGGCTGTTAGTACGTCATATGCTTCGTTGATCTAATTCGTTTATTTGGCCTGTCTATCACCAACATAGGCCAATCAGCTAACCAGTATTTTCGCCCCTTCCCAAAATTACTTCAACGGAAGGTTTCCAGATGGATATGCGGAGCAAATCCATCTGGCGGAGTCAGGTTACATCATAGTAGTCGTGTTATCGAACTTCACAACCATATTTGTTTTGTGAGTAGCAGAGTAGTCGTTTGTCAAGAGAATAAACAGGTCAGGGCAGAAAACATAACACTGTGGTGAGCCAAAGTTTAGTATCAGTTGCATAGATGGTTCTCTTTTATCAGCCGGGGCTACTTGGTAAGAAAATTTCTGGCCAATAAACAAGATAAACCCAGGATGGGGGGCTTCAGGGCCAGCATGCCTGGAAGGGTGGTGTTGAAGACTGAGCTAAGGCTAATGAATAGCATACTTAAAGGGGTGTTACGATGCTGCATATGAGTCGGAGACATGTAAAGAACATGAGAAGACATCAGAAGGGCATTTGCTGTAGAACGATTTTTCTTGTAACCTAACAGGTTCATGGTCGTTCAATCCCTTGATGGGTAATTTCTTTGGGTCCTGCATTATCGCGGAGCATTTAAAGGAACTTTGAAGTGCTCCAGAGACTTTACTTCAGGGAAGTTGAGGGCCATTTGGCCAATGACTGAGGGGATAATGGCTAGATCAAAGAGCATTACTGGTTTCACACACACATAAAAGAGCCAAGGATCAATTAATTAGAAGCTTCAATCAGAATCGGCTGTAATTGGCAAGTTTTTCACTTAACGAAAGAAAATGACTTTGGTCCCAATATTTTACAAACATAGAAGAATGTTCTTATATCAGGCAGAGGTAGAGTTCTGGGGGAGTATTGCTGTAGTTGGTGCTTTGAAGCTTATGTGGGATGTGGGCAGGTTGTGGGACTTTCTATGGCTGTGTAGGAAAACTGATATATAGTTAAAGATTCCCATGCTAATTAAAAATATCAGTTCTGTTTTACGATCACTTCTTTCTAATACACTGATGTTGTAAATTCTATAGAAGTAGTTAATTACAGCCTTGATATTTATAACAAAAATGTTATAAGATTATAAATGTGTTTTTACAGAAAAACAGGAAGGAGGTGAAAACTAAATTAGTAGCTCAAAGCTTCACACAATCCAGATATCTTAAAGTCACCAATTTTTGAGTGGTATATGTCTGTTTCCAAAGTTCATATACTTAGCAGTTCTGCCACCTGGACCCAACAGCCGTGTCAGTGCCTGATAATGGAGCAAAGGTAGCATTACACACAGACAATATTATCTTCTTTCTACATATCTTTAGGTGAGACAGGACCCATTTTTCATTTAACTTCCTTTGATTTAATAAAGCAACCGTGCCCTGAAAAAATGAGGAACACGAGTGATTGCTTTCTTACTTTTCTCTGAAGTTGGCTTGTCATCATTCCCTCTCCTCTTTAACAGCCCTTGCCAAACCTAAGTCCACCCTCTTCCCCCAGCCACTCTAAAATCCATCACCACACATCTTTGTCAGCGCTGCAGAGACTCAGTGTCGGGCTTGCTGAGATGTCCATGCTCAGGCACCGGTGGACCTCCAATGGGGAAATGCTTGGCTGCAGAGAAACCTGCACGAAATTAAATTCTCCACTTGGCTGACTAGGGTGACTTGTCCTGGTCTACCGGCCTGTTCCTTCATTATTCCTGGGCTGATAACTGACTGAACGGGATGTCTTGTCTGTTTAATGCCAGCTCAGCTGCTTCATGGGAGGAACGGGCTTGTCACTCTCGCTCCTTCTTATAACACACTGTAATACTACCTCGACTTCATTTATTTGGTTCACACTTTTGTGTCCCGTCAAACGCACGACCCCCCCCCTTCCCAAAAGACACTAGCAATTCAACATTCCAACCTATTACATCTTTTAGGATACTGCAGCAAATAACCTGTCCAATTTTTTTATTAAAATGTCATTTAGATGTCACACGAATGATTTAGGCTGGAAACAATAAAGTTGACCGTAATTGTAGTTTTTCATTCCACCATCTATCACAATGAAGTAGGAGATTCTCAAAAAGTTATTTTAAATCTGTAATTTATTTGATAAAGCTAGAGCCATTTACATTTTGAGTACAAAGGGACAGCTGTATTTCAAGAGTAAATTTCAATGTAATTACTGTGTCAATGCAGTGTGGTATGGAGATGGACTGGAAAGTTCTTTTATAACAGCCTTGAGCTCATTTACATTGTTGGCTGTAGTGTCTCTCATCTTCTTCTTGATGTTTTTCTATATGTGACCGTATAGACTCACGGTCAGCCCAGCTTGCTTGCAAATCCAGCAAAGTAATAGCATATTGATTGAAGTCAGTATATGTACAGTACTGTCAACAAAGGCAAACAAGCATGAAGTAAAATGTCCTGGTAGGCAATTGTGTGGACTTTCCACTCTTCCCTCAGACTTTGGAACCATGATTTTAAAATAAAACTTGAAAATTACTTTCTTTTTAAAGAAGGCAATTACAGTACCTCTGTGCAACCATCCAGTTTTTGCTTCCCATTTTCCCAAGACTGCTTCTATCCATATTTCTTAAGGTCCTTTTAAAATAGCACCTATCCTTCAGCGTTCGGTGGTATGCATAGATAAAGCTCCTTGCGAACAGCCAGCAAACAAAAATAGGGATATCCCAAAACAACATTGATATCGGAAATCAGTCTGACATTAGCCCAAAAACAAAAATTGGAATGTACGTAACAGACGGCATCTAAATTGTATTATATTAGTATGCTGATAGAGAGGGCTGAAATGTTAAAATTGATTAATAAATGTTTATTTTGAAATGAAATATGTTGAAAGTATCTCTTTTTATATATTATATAAAAAAAATATTTGACAGATTAAGTAATAGAATAATCGATAGCTACAGCCATACTGATAGAAACCCCCACTTCAAGGCAAGTCAAGGCAAATTTATTTGTACAGCACAACTCAATAGAACGACAATTATTTTCAGCTTCAGTGTAGAGTTTTCTAAACACTTGGTTCATAATAAATGGGTAATCTGCCATGATCTTGGCACCATAGGCTGGGTTTTCCTATTTTTTTCTCTCATCTGCTTTGCTCTGCCCTGCGCTCATTATCTCATCGTATTCACCTGTTCCTGCTGCTATTTAAGCCACTGTTTCACAGCCATTGTTGCCAGATTATTCAAGCTTCAAGTCAGACTAATTCTAGCATTCCTTGTTGTGTTAGTTCTGTCTGATCCTGACCTGTTTCTGCCCCCGGACTTCTGAGTTTTGGCCGCCCCTGTTGTGGATATCTGGTACCGGCTCAGTAACAAGCAACGGAGTTCCACTCCTCTGGACTACACTCCTTCTTCTAGGCTGAGACTTAACTTTTCCAGGTTGGTGGCTTTCATGCTCATTGTCGTTCCCTGTTTGAGTTCTGAAGTCACTGACTTGAGTCTCCATTCTTGCAGAGAATCGCCTCAGCTGGCGAGCAGCCGCTTGTTGATTCAATAAACGCCTTTTAAGGTAATAACTGTCTGTCTCGCCTGAATTCTGGATGCTACGTTCTGAGTCCTCTGACCTAATCTATTTGCATACCAATTGTTGAATATTTTTTTGCTCTTTGGGTAAAATCACTTCAAGAAGCATTTTATAAAATTTCACGCAACAAAATGAGTAATAAAAGTATGATTCATACCAGGGCTCGATGTTAACCATTGCCCGATCGCCCGGGGCAAGTAGCTTTTATTGTCGGGAGAGTACAAAATTTCATTGCATTTGCCCGCCGGGCAAGTTTAATGATCGCAAAAAAATATATTTATCACTCAAAATTACTTTAAAATCACCATCATTCGCTGAAAACGACCCACAAGCGTTGCCGGCGACATTTTTGTTGTTTTGTACACATTCTCGCGTGATTTCAAAAAGCTGCGTGATTTCAAAAAGCTGCATGATTTTCCGCCAGATGGCGTGATTTTTGTCCGGCGCGAATCAGACACATTTTTTTCGACTTGGCAATCTAAAAAACTACAACAAGGCTATTTTACCCTCCACCCATTTCACCCACCACCCAGATAACCCTAGATTAAAAATTATCTGTCAGGGATTAGGAAAATTGGCATAATTGTATGCCAGGCACACAGTGTAAATATGGCTATCATTTGGCAGTCTTCTGTACAGTGATGCAGGTCATACATTAAAAATGTTCATGAAATGTTTTTCTCTTAGACATTGGAGAGGTGCATTTAAATGTTATAGAGCTAAACATGTTAAATTGGTGACCTGTTATGTTGTTATTGTCTTGTTGCTGCTTTTATATTGTCAGGGAAAACTAATCCTGAGTCAGTTAAAAGTCAGGGAATTCTGAAATTATGTAAGACTGTGGAAACCCTCTATAAAATAACTGTATAATGATTCTCAAGAAAAGTCACATTATATTAATAGTATTATCTTGTATCAACATTTTGTGACTTAAAAATAAAAGTTATTCATTTGTGACATTGACTTCTGTCTTGTGATTTATCTTAAGTTTTTAACCTGTCAAGTTTTTTTTAGATTTTTAACATTACAATTTATATTTTTCCAAGCATACAACAGTTTAAAGCAAAGTTTAGTGTGAAAAGAATGTGCAGGAAGGGTTGAAAAGCATATTAACACGGTAATGTAGGCTTGAGTTCATTATCTGACGCATGCAGATACACAACAGGAACCTGTAAACTAAAAAAATACTGAATTACAAAAAACATTTAAAAAAACAAACATGTTTCATTGATATATATACAAGAATGAATATTAGGAACTGTATTTATCAAATATTATACTGGGCAAGTAAAAATTGTTTCTGGGCAAATGAAATGTGAAAGTCACTTGCCCAAAGGGCAAGTGGTAAAAATACTTAACGTCAACCCCTGCATACTGATACCATATTGAGTCAATATTGGTATCAGTCAGTCCCCAAATTTTTCAATTCAATTCAGTTTATTTATATAGCGCCAAATTCACAACACATGTCATCTCAAGGCACTTTACAGTTCAACCAGATCAAATTGATACAAAGTTTTCTATCTAAGGAAAACCAGTTGATTGCATTGACTCATTGACTCAAATACAATCCCCCACACTAAGCATGCTTGTAGCGACAGTGGAGAGGAAAAACTCCCTTTTAACAGGAAGAAACCTCCAGCAGAACCAGGCTCAGTGTGAGCGGCCATCTGCCGAGGCCGACTGGGGTTCAAGGAGACAGAAGCAGAGATACAAAAAGCAGCTGTAAAAGGCGGCCCCGTCCAGGAAACACACAGCCAGGCAGACGAGCTCCAAGGCAGCTCCCATGCCAGAGGACGAAGAAAGCACATCCACTCAGTCACGGTCAGAGAAACAGGACCACACTGGAAAACAGGCCGATCTCCAACATCTATAAACAAGGGTGTTGATAGAAGCAGCACAGCTGATGTTTCTTTCCAGGATGACGTCACAGCCAAACAGGAACAGACGAGGCAAAGCTACTCTGAGGAAAAGCAGAGAGAGCAGAAGGTTAGAGATTGAACTAACAGATTCTGCAGAATAGGAGAACAGAGAGAGAATGAAGCAGAATGATGAAATGGGGGTCCCTATGTCCTCCAAAAGTCTAAGCCTATAGCAGCATAACTATAGAGATAGCTCAGGATAACCTGAGCCACTCTAACTATAAGCTTTATCAAAAAGGAAAGTTTTAAGCCTAGCCTTAAAAGTAGACAGGGTGTCTGCCTCACGGACTAAAACTGGTAGTTGGTTCCACAGGAGAGGAGCCTGATAACTAAAAGATCTGCCTCCCATTCTACTTTTAGAAATTCTAGGAACCACTAGTAAACCTGCAGATTGAGAGCGAAGTGCTCTGTTAGGAACATAAGGAACAATCAGATCTCTGATATAAGATGGAGCTTGGCCATTTAAGGCTTTATATGTGAGAAGGAGGATTTTAAATTCTATTCTTGATTTAACAGGAAGCCAATGAAGAGAAGCCAGGACAGGCGAGATATGATCTCTCTTTTTAATTTTCATTAGAACTCTGGCTGCAGCATTTTGGATCAGCTGAAGGCTTTTAACTACAGTTTGTGGACTTCCTGATAGTAAAGAATTACAATAGTCCAGCCTTGAAGTAACAAATGCATGGACTAGTTTCTCAGCATCACCCCTGGACAGGATATTTCTAATTTTTGCAATGTTCCTCAGATGAAAGAAGGAAATTCTAGAAACCTCTTTGATGTGGGATTTAAATGACAGGTCCTGATCAAAAACAACACCAAGATTTTTTACTTTATTATCTGAAATCAGTTTAATCCCATCCAAATGAAGTGACTGGCTAATCAGTTTCTTTTTCAGAGACTCTGGTCCAAAGACTATAACTTCTGTTTTGTCTGCATTCAGAAGCAGAAAGTTAAGAGTCATCCAGGTTTTTATGTCTTCAAGACATGCCTGTAATCTATGTAATGGGTTAGCTTCATCTGGATTTATAGACAGATATAGCTGGGTATCATCAGCATAACAGTGGAAATTAATCCCATGCTGTCTAATAATTCTACCAATTGGGAGCATGTATAAAGTAAAGAGAATTGGTCCTAGCACTGATCCCTGTGGTACTCCACAGGTAACCTTTGAGCGTGTTGAAGATCTATCATTAACATGAACAAACTGAATTCGATCAGATAGATAAGATTTAAACCAGTCTAGTGCTGTTCCTTTAATTCCAACAAAATATTCAAGTCTTTCTAAAAGAATATTATGGTCAACTGTATCAAATGCAGCACTAAGATCCAACAGGACGAGCACAGATACAAGTCCATTATCTGAGGCCATGAGAATATCATTAGTGACTTTCACCAGAGCTGTTTCAGTGCTATGATGAGCTCTAAAGCCAGACTGAAACTCTTCAAAAAGTTCATTATGGTGGAAGTGATCGCAAACTTGTTTGGCAACTACTTTCTCAAGAATTTTGGATAAGAAAGGAAGATTGGATATAGGTCTATAATTGACCAAGTCATCTGGGTCAAGAGACGGTTTCTTAAGCAGAGGTTTAATTACAGCAACCTTAAAAGCTTTAGGTACATATCCCTGTAACAGAGATAGATTAATCACATCTAAAATGGAGGAGGAGATCAAAGGGAATACCTCCTTAAATAACCTGGTTGGAACTGGATCTAACATACAAGTTGAAGGCTTAGATGAAGACAATAATTTTGCTAATTCAGAGAGTTCAACTGGATCAAAGCAGTCTAAACCCAGTTCAGATTCCATGACTACCTCAGGTACAATCGCGGATAGAGGAGTGCTTATGATCTTATTTTTAATAAGATCAATCTTATTTATAAAGAATCCCATAAAGTCATTGCTGCTAAGAGCAGGTGGAATGGACGGTTCAACAGAGCTATGGCTCTGGGTGAGTTTGGCAACTGTATTAAAAAGAAATCTAGGATTATTCTTATTCTCCTCTATTAATGAGGAGAAGTATGCTGCTCTTGCTTTACAAAGGGTCCTCTTATACAGCAGTAAACCATTTTTCCAGACTAGGAAGGACTCTCGCAGGCCTGTGGAGCGATATTTTCTCTCCAGTTTCCTAGCATTTTGCTTCAAAGTACGCAGCTCTGCATTAAACCAAGGAGCAAGCTTTCTATTTTTAACGGTTTTCATTTTCAAAGGAGCTGCGTTGTCTAAGGCAATACGCAGAGAACTAGCAACCCCATCAACAAAATCATCAACCTGTGAAGGGGAATAAGCTAAACTTTTGCACTCTGCAGCACTGCTCAGTGACACAGAGGAGAGAGAAAGTGAAGCAGATTCTTTAAAATTTATAACTGCACTATCTGATAAAGATCTACTAAAATTGAACCTTCTTTTGGGGGAGGAGAACTCTGTTAAAGTAATCCTGAAGGTTATTAGAAAGTGGTCAGAGAGGACAGGGTTGTGAGGAAATACTGTTATTTCTTCACATTCTATGCCGTATGTCAGCACAAGATCCAAAGTATGAAGATGAGAATGCGTGGGACTATTCACATTTTGAACAAAGCCAATAGTGTCTAAGATAGCATTAAAGGCTGCTCTTAAGCTATCGCCTTCAATGTCAGCATGGATGTTAAAATCTCCCACTATGATGACCCTGTCAGTATTTAATACCAAATCAGAAAGGAACTCTGAAAACTCATCTAAAAATTCAGAGTAAGGACCTGGTGGACGATACAAAGTTACAAAAAGAAGAGGTTTTCTTGCCTTGAAATTTGGATCAGGGAAATTAAGGGTTAAATGTTCAAAAGAGTTGTAGGTATTAACTGTTTTGGGAGTAATCAGTAAGTCAGACTGGAAGATTGTTGCTACTCCTCCTCCTCGCCCAGAACTTCTGGGGATGTGAAAATTTAAATAGCTTGAAGGAGTTGCCTCATTTATGCTCACATAATCCTCTTGCTGCAGCCAGGTTTCTGTAAGGCAAAACAAGTCAATGTGATTATCACAAATCAAGTCATTAACTAGTAGACTTTTAGAGGAAAGCGATCTTATGT